TCATACCCCCTTGTTTTCGTTTTTTACTTTTTTTTGTTGTGGGGGGGGGGGAGAGAATACAAGTGTTATGTGTTGATGCATGTTACATTTGATTTCTTTGGTTTGTTGTGGTGAAAATTTGATAAACTTCATATATTTCGAAATCAATAACATAAATTGGTGAGATCCATAAACTAAAACACATTAGACATCATACAATAAATATACAAGTGTTTTATGTGCTAAGATGTGAAAAACAAAACAAAACTTTGGTATTAAGATCATTTTGTCAAATAAATAAAAGATTGAGCCATTTATGACATTTTCGGTTTTATAAGGATAAAAAAAAGTGCATTTGTTTAAAACTGAGCTTTTGTGGTAATCACACTTTTTAAAGGAACAAAGGTTTAAATTTGAGCCTATTGGGCATAAGTGTTTGGGCCTTACGATTTTTGGGCCTAAAATGCAAAAAATGCAAACTTTAGGGGCTAAAATGTCATTAAATCAATGATTGAGTTCAAAACTGGAAATGAACTAAAATAAAGGCTGAAAATGACACTTATTTCGAAATCGGGCCAAAAATGTAACTTTTATGAAATTTGGGCCGAAAATGCCATTTTTATAAAATTGTAACATCCGGATATCTAGGTATTATGTTTGATCATTTATTCTTTTGAGTAAAAGAGAGGGACTCGACGAGTTGAGGCGTAGACTCGTCGAGTAGGATCGTGTGTGCTGATTGGATTAATGAACGGACTCGAAAAGTCGGAAAGGGTGGACTCGATGAGTCCATGGTGTGGATTGAAACCCTAATTCTCGGGGCTTGTGCCCTATTTAAAGACCTTTATGGCCTCCATTTGCGGCCACTAAACCCCTGAGAAACCCTAGAGAGCATAGAGATCTTTTGTGGTTCAAGAGGAAGGCTAATTCACCATTTCTTGTGTATTTTAGCAAGAAGGAAGGAGGTAGAACAAACTAAGCGAGTTGAGGAGCTTGGATCCACTTCTATTTGATCAGAGGAAGCTGTTAGAGGTAACAATTTGTGCCCTTCTCGTGTTTATATGATTCTAGTGGAATCTAGGGTTTTCTTTATGCCTCTTTTAGTTTGAATCTGGAGTATGTGAAGTCCCAAGGCGAAATGGTTCATAGATCTGGACCTTAAGAGGTCCAGAGAGTCCTTACCACTCTGTTTTATTCCATACCTTTTGAGTTATGAGCCTAGGATGCCATTTTAGAGGTTATTTCACCAAAAGAAGTTGTGGGTGTGTTGCATGTGTACCAATACTTGACCTTTATGTGATTATCATGCTTGGGAAGGTCAGATCTGTAGATTCGAGAAGCATATCTAACATTAGAAGGTCATTTGTGTATGAACATGGAAGGAACTCGCCGAGTTCATAAGTGGACTCGACGATTCGAGTCGGGGTTGCCCTGCGATTCGTTACAGGAGGAACCCGTCGAGTGGAAGGATGAGTCGCCATGCCATGAGAGGCTAGAAGGATTCAGAGGACCCGCACAGACTCGCCGAGTTGCCCATGTGCACTCGTCGAGTCGGGTCAAAGTTTGACTATTGACTTTCGTTGACCTTAGGGTTTTGGTCAAGATTGATTTGAGAAAGTTTAGGAAAGGGTAGAATAGCCTTCTACCAAATCATTAGAGATGATACTATGATAGAATATTAAACGGGAATGTTATTTGAATGATAGGAGGAGGCTAGGTCGGGACGTTGAGCACGAGAGTTTATCCGACTTCATTGAGGTGAGTCTTCTCACTATACTATACCTGGAAGGGTATTATGTGTGACTAGAAGGTCTTGCATGCTATAAGATGTATGTGCTATATGTGGTTGTGTGAGATGTATGTGTTATGTATGTTATGTATGATAAGGACCGGAAGGTCAAGATTAGGGGTGAGCATTTGGACCGGTGGACCGGACCGGACCTGACCGTTTTTTTGGACCCCCGGGCCGATTCTCAGTTCTAAGATTTCTCGCCGGTCCGATCCGGTTTTTTTTCCCGATCCGGTTCGGCTTTTACCGGGTTTAGAACCGGTTGGACATGATTAAGATTTTGTGACGTTTTTTAAACACACATAACTCATTCGTTTTAAGTCGGATTGACCTGCGGTTTTTTCCAACATTTATTTTACAGTTTATAGATGAATTTAGACTATAATTTTGTTTATTTTGGTATTATATTTACCGTGTTACAATCCTTCAAAGTAGAGCTATCAAAGCTGAAAAAATTCAGCTTTTCAGCAACATTTTGTAAGTTGTGACGTTTTTTAAACACCCATAACTCATTCGTTTTAAGTCGGATTGACCTCCGATTTTTTCCAACATTTAGTTTACAGTTTGTAGACGAGTTTAGACTATAATTTTGTTTATTTTGGTATTATATTCACTGAGTTACAATCCTTCAAAGTAGAGCTATCAAAGTTGAAAAAATTCAGCTTTTTAGCAAGATTTTATTATCTGTGACGTTTTTTAAACACCCATAACTCATTCGTTTTAAGTCGGATTGACCTACGGTTTTTCCAACATTTAGTTTACAATTTGTAGATTAATTTAGAATATAATTTTGTTTATTTTGGTATTATATTCATTGAGTTACACTCCTTCAATGTAGAGCTATCAAAGCTGAAATATTTCAGCTTTTTAGTATTATTTTATACTATAATTATGAGTCCGCGTTTAGCACTTGTGGTAGAGTTGTAAGTGAGTATCATACTAGTTTATCGACATTGATAGTTGAAGCTTTGTCATGTACCCAAGATTGGGTGATAATGTTTACAAATCCGATAGTTGACAACGTTGATGACATCTTGAACGATGATGATATAGCTTTGGGTAAAAAAAATTACAATCTTTATTCTTTTTTTATACAATTTTTCCTTTTTATTAAATACTAACAACATTTTCATTTGTGTATATGTAGAGATTGCACAAGCTTTAAATATGTTACATATGGATGACAATGATATGGGGAAGAGGCCAATGGAAATTAGATTATGGGTTTATGAAATTGTTATTTTGATTGATTTTAAAGTTTAAACTATGATTTTTGTTGTTACGGTTATACTTTTGTATGTTTGTCTTAAAATTGTTTAAATTTTGTTGGTGATCTTGATTTATATGTTAGTTGCTTTTATTTGGAAAATTAATTTTTGCAAATTGCAAGTTATAATATTATACATCAATGTAGATTAGTTAGGCGTGAAACGAAAACATATTAATTTTGCGAGTTATAATATTATACATCAATGTAGATTACTTATTATACTCTAAGCAATTAAAGTTGTACCGGTCCAAACGGATCCAAAAACCGAAAAACCCGGACCTGGACCCGGATACGGACACGGACACGGACACGACTCATCCAGTCCGGTCCATGGTCCACAAAATTCTCCATAACCGGTCCGGTCCAAGAGCCGGTCCGGTCCGGTTCGGTCCAAATGCTCACCCCTAGTCAAGATGATATGGACCGGAAGGTCAAGATGATATGGATCGGAAGGTCAGAAGGTACGGACCGGAAGGTCGATATAGTAAGGACCAGAAGTTCTACCGGGATTCGGGAGAGAAGTCCCCTGAGATACTTGGATCGGAAAGTCCCACAGAGTTATGGCCTGGAAAGGCGTATGTGTGGTATGTGGTATCTTGGGGAACTCGCTAAGCATTTATGCTTACAGTTGTTGTGTTACGTGTTTCAGGTACTAGCGAGGATCGCAGGAAGTCGCTGACATGATTCGTACACACTCATAGAGATTATGCTTGAAATTCTGGTATTTATCTTGTTATGATGACATTGGATACATTATTTCTTGATATTTTTTTGATGGTTAAAAGTATGATTTTAAAATGAAAAACTATTTGAAATTTCACGTCGTTAAGAGTTGGTGTCAGAGCCTTGGTTTTTGAGGGATTCGGATGCATCTTCAGGTGTATTGAACTCAAAATAAGGATTTGAGAAAGTTTTCATAAAATAAACAATTTTTCTAAAGAAGTAAAAAGGATTTGAGAAAAGCAGAGGGAAGCAGTGTGTATGATCAGCCAGCGCCCGAACGGTGATTTCCCAAAATATTCTTACATTATGTGTTATGAGATATGTTATGATAAGTTATGACAAGTAGGCTAGTTATTCATATTATGACTAGAGTGCCTTGATTTGTGATGCCTTAGCCTAGGAAGATTCCTGCTACCATGAGATGCTTGAGAGTGAGTAGGTAGCAGTGAGGGGCTACGAAAGGTTTACCGAAGGGTAGCCTATGCTGGCGAGACGTAGAGTACTTGTGATCTGGGATCCAAGGAGGAGGACTTGGGGTGAATACCTGATACGGTGTGGACGGTAGTATAGGGCCCGTACTACTGAAGACACCGGATCAGTGCGTAGCCCAAGTAAGAATCCTTAGGGTACTAGGGGACAAGCAGGGTTGAGTATCGAGTGCGAATATGCTCGAGCGGGTCTCTAATATTTTTTATGTTGTATTTGAGAGACATCATAGTTGGGACACGCCACAGACCTGAGACAAGCAGCGTGAGTGACGAGGAGCTTCGTCACATGATCCATGATGATGTGGCAGCGGCGATTCGAGCCGAGATTCCAGAGATGTTTGGGTCTATCAAGACCACATTGATTGAGACTTTTGATGAGCAATATGCATCGGTGACTGAGGCTGCGGCTGCGGCTGCTGTAGCTGTGGCTTCTGCCAGGCCTCATGGCGGTGACTCTTTGTTGTTTCGGGAGTTCAACAACATGAAGCCACCAGAGTTTGACGGGATGCAGGATCCAATCGTTGTGATGAGATGGATTTCTGATATCGAGGGATGTATCTACACGTGTTCATTTCCGGAGCATCCGAGGGTACGGTTCGCGCTGAACCAACTTCGCTTGGGAGCGAAGGATTGGTGGAAGTTTGTGACAGCGAGCGTCACTCTTGTGGAGATTTCAGACGTGACCTGGGAGAGGTTCACCACCAT